AACAGTGAGAGGCCCACGTACCGCAAAAAAAAAAAAAATTATTTATTTGGTTGCGCTGGGTCTTAGTTGCGGCAGGTAGGCTCCTTAGTTGTGGCCCACAGGCTTCTTAGTTGCAGCAGGCTGGCTCCTTAGTTGTGGCATGTGAACTCTTAGTTGCGGCATGCATGTGGGATCTAGTTCCCTGACCAGGGCTTGAACCCGGGCTCCTGCACTGGGAGCTCAGAATCTTATCTGCTGTGCCACCAGGGAAGTCCCCCTGTCAGTATATTTCTGATGCACATAGATAAATTTCTTGTGAACTGTAATTTTTGACCACCTAGACTTGAAAGTGATCATCCTGTCTCTCCTTTTCTCTTGCTCCTTACTGATGAACTTCCATTGGCTCTTTCTGGGCTCAACATTACACAAGCCAGTGGCGATGAACTAGAACTTGTTTTTAATTCTGAAACCATATGCACTTGATTGATCAAATAGGTACCTTGGGAGCTCTGTAGTCTGTGAACACCTGTCTCATCTATAACACAAATTGGCTGCTTGATTTCTTAAAGATATATATATGTTTTCCAGAAGGCAAAGGTCAGATGTCTTCCAGCCTAGGAAAACTGCCAGGGCTAAGTAAAATTCCGCTGATTGCTACGCCAGCAGAGTCAGTGTCTAAGTTTTACTTTACTTGTCTCTGTTGCTTTAATCTGTGAGGGACCTTTACCACAGAGCAAGGACCATTGTGCATGATTTCAGTGCTTTTCACATCATTTGCATGTGGTATGTTTTAATAGCCCCTTCGTGCATCCTATTAGTCACTTCTTTCCTATATATAAATAAAACTATGATTAACTCCGATGTATTGGCAAAGTAGGATGGAATGAGGTAATATCTTTTACTGTCTCTACTCTTGCAGTATAAACAAAACTGTCTTAGCCCATTTGGGCTGTTTTAACAACACAGACTGGCTTATAAACAACAGAAATTTATTTCTTACAGTTCTGGAGGCTGGAGGTCGAGGATCAGGGTGCTAGCTTGATGGAGTTCTGCCGACTGCTGACTGTGTGTGTCCTCAATTGGTAGAGAGCAGAGATCAGCAAGCTGCAGGGTCGCTCATGACTAGAAAGGACACTAATCCCGTCATGGGAGTCCCACCCTCCTGACCTCAGCTAAACCCAATCACCTCCCAAAGGCCTCACCTCCAAATACCATCACACTGGGGATTTAGGCTTCACCATGTGAATTTTGGACACAAACATTCAGTCCATTACAGAAACTGCATTCATTTTTCTGACTTTGATTTAGTCATGTTTTGAATATTGTATGTTTTATTTTCCCAGGTGATTCTGATATACCTCCAAGGTCCCCACTTTGAACATCTATGGTATTATGTAATAAATTGATGGGAAATCGGGCTGAACTGTTAATGGCTCTCAGATGCTACCTAACTTGGAAAGTTTGGGGGGATTGTGTTAATCCCCACACCCATTTGTTTTCTTAGGATTTACCCAAATCTCTTTAAAAAAACAAAAAACAATTAGCCAACTAATAAGAGTTTGGTCAACGTAGGTCTTAGAGTACTCTGCTATTTCTTACATCTGGTATACACCTCTTGTATCACCATCATTCTAAGTACTTTTTGCCGTACGTTGTAACAAACTTTGTGTCTCTGTTCCGTGTATATGGTAGCCCTTACGTGGATTAGTTGTCATGGGCTGCCTTCCAGAATTCGTTTTTTCAGTCAGATGTTTGGGGTTCAACATATATTTTCCCATAGAAATGATGATAATATGGCAGTTAGGCTAAAACCAAGTAGCTTGAAAAGGTGCACTAAAACCTTTCAAAATTCTGTCGTTGAGTGCAGTGGTCATGGTAAAGTTCTCATCAGGCTTTTTTTTGGCCAAGTACTCCCTTCGGCTACCTCTCCCCCGAGCCCAGCATCATGGCTCTCTTTAAATGGGAAAATGCTGTGCTGAGAGAGAAGTGCTATGGTGTTGGGAGCCGTCTCTTGGCTGCCCCCTTTTTCTGCCTTTTTAGTGGTGAGTGTCTGCCCACTGCAAAGACACAGCTAGGGTGGGCTGTGAATTCAGACAGCCAGCTCTCTTTTTACACTCTAAGTTTATCCATTAAAGAAGTTGTGTATTTATTTGGGGAATATATTAACAACTCTTGGTGCCACGTTAATTAACTTTCAGTGGGAGGAAGGGCTACTGAAGAGGAGTAAAGAGTTTGGCTGGGAGGCCACTGACCTGACTTAATTACAAAGCAGCCTTTCAAATAAATATTCTACGAATCGGCTATATCCGTTGCTGCCGCGTGCTCACAGACTATGCAGTCAGAAGGGGCTTGGGTTAGCCTGAGAATTTGATGTCTGGCAATGGAAGAGAGTAGGTGCCTGTCGCGCGAACACTGAGTTAAAAAGGCCATTAGCTATTATGAGGAAGGAGATGGGGGAGAGTATTACAGATGGAGACCAGCATGGAAAAGATCATCTGCCCAGGCAAGGAATGCAGCGCTGGGCTGCTGTTTCCATTCCAGCAAGAATTTCTGACTTTGCACGCTGTAAATTTAACGTATACTGTCAGATTTGAGGGTTGTTTGATCTCAGGGCAGTGCAAGCACTGAAAATCTACTTCTGTCCGAATTGACAGTACTGGTGTGGACTCTTTTTAGGCTGTGGGATTAGATGGACAGGAGATGGAAGGGCAGCGCTGATAAAGAACTTCAGGGGGAATTAATCATGATCATAATTAGTACCGTTTCCTCTAACTTCTCTGGTCTTTAGTGTAAGAGCTCCTCAGCGATGCTGAAAAGTTAAGATTTTTTTAGCTGAAAAAACAAGACTGGAAGCCCTGTTCTTTCTAAGGCCAGAGAGAATATGGACTCCCATAGCACTGCCAGCCTGTGTAATGAAACACCCAAATCCAAGCTGCTGCGCTGGGCTTCCTGTGTTGCCTGCTTCATGGAAACAAATTAGTAGAGCAAACTGGTACAGCAAACCCAAGTTGCACCCCCAGGAGGCCTTGGTTCACTGAAGTGGGCAGCGAATGGATAGCTGGTAGCTCTACCAATAGATACCAAAAAGAAGCTGAGATTCATGTTTGTTTTCAACTCCTGTTTTTCCTGCTCTCTTTTTTGTTTCTGCATACTCTCAGACTCACTAAGCTACCCCTACTCAGCTACTCCCAAGTATTATTGGAGAATTTACCCCAAATCCTACTTGCCCCTCAAGATACTCTGAACGCGCTGGTTGGGTGGGACCCAGCTCTTTGGGTCACCATGGTGACTGATACCCATTCCTCTCCTGGCAGCATCCATCACTTTTCCTGAGTCACACCATCTCCCAGGCCAGTGGTTTCCTCAGCTCTTAAATGAGAGGGTGGATTTAGATGATTCCTCTTGCTGCTTCTGGCTCTAAAAATTTGAATTTTTTTCTCACCTACCAAGTACCTCCTATCATGTTTTAGTTAAACCTGGGAATAGAGTCCTTAAAGGGTAAATGCCATGGCATTTTGTTTCTTTAAATGAATGGCTGTGAATTGTACTTCAAAGCTTGGCCCAGAATGTGGTCAGAGGATCGCCAAGGTTCTTAGGAGTTCTGCGAGGTGTTCCTGGGTGTCTCCTCCTCGCTGCGGGTAGGAACTGTTTAATATCTTGAAGAGCATTCGTGCATTAGGCGGCTCCAGGCTTCAGCGCAGAATGCTTCCGACTCAGTGTGACTCCTCTGCCTTTTCCCATGCAAAGAAAGTGTACCGAGGCTATGTTTCCAGTTGACTCTGTGTGATCTTGGCTCATTCGCTTGTGCAGTAAGGTCTGTCTGCTTTGGTTGCTTTAAAAGACTACCTTTGGTCCATGGAATTGGTCTCACTTTACTGTATATGTAGGGATCTTTGATCAAAGAGAACTAACCTGCTAAAAAGATACGAACTCTGCTACTCCGACGTCTTTACAGCTGTGCAGTCAAAAATAATTTGTTGAGCCTGTGATTGAAAAGGTAAATTGCTATTGGTTGAAGAGACAGCATGGGGCAGTAACACAACCTTTTCCCCCTTTTAAAAAAGATTCCTGTTAAAATTACTTAACATCTCAAGCATATAGACAAATACAAAGAATGGTATCACACCTTCCCTCTACCCGGCTCTGTGAAGTCTGTTCATCGTGGCACTTTCTACCCCCCTCACTAGCCCTCTTTTTCTTCCTCTCTCTCTCACCCTCTACCAAAGTCTGTAATTTGTTTCGTTTACTGTCTTGGCCCCCACTACAATGTAAGGCCCCTGAGGGCAGACATTTCTGACTCCTTAGTTCCCTGTTATATCATCCCTATTAACCAGTGTCTGACATTGTTCTCTGTATTTGCATATTGCTTTACATTAGTGGATTAAATTAATTGCTTCCGCATATTGCTTCTTTTTATGAAGTAGAATGCAGTTCGGGGTTCCCTCTGCAACTGCCCCCCCCCCCCCCCCCCAAATCAAATTTTCCTTCTTCCCTACCTCACCATAGGTAACCTGTATTGTGAATTCGGTGTTTATCCTTTTTGCATATGCTTTTTATATCTTAGGACATATTTATGTGTACCAATTAACCACTACGTAGAATTGTCTTCAGGTATTTGAGTTATTTATATAAATAGTAATATAACCTTTCTGGTTTAATGTTGAACTACATGCAGGACTGGGGAGACAAACCCAGTTAAGTCCTGGGACAACTAGTAAGCAGAACTCCTCAAACCCTCTTTAAGGAAGACTTTCCATGTGCCTTGAATAAATGCTGAAGCAACCACTGTGATTCACGTACCAGATAGCAATTAAGCTTTAACATCAAAGAATGAACCTGTCTCGATGTTCTCAATTAAAGTTTAAGAACTAGATGCGCTTAATGTATCTGTGCCAGAAAATTGGCCATTCCTTTGCAGTTTTCTCCATGAAAAGGGGTCCTAATGGTCCAGTCAAAAAGAATCTAATTAACCAAGTTTAAGTGGTCTACAATTCTCAGCAAAACTGTTTTCCTTCTTTCAGCTGAGACGAGAGAAGATTGACCTTGAAAATACTTTGGAACAAGAACAGGAAGCACTAGTGAATCGTCTCTGGAAAAGGATGGATAAACTTGAAGCTGAAAAGCGGTTCGTTTAGTCTTGCTGTTCGGTGTTCTGTACGTATGTGTGTGTTGGAGGAGTGGGGTAGCTTGCTGGGTGTGACCGAGGAATGACAATGGGACATTTTAATTCCTTGATTGATGCACATCATTTTAATTTGACAAGTGGAAAAAAATGCTGATAGCCTATCCTCCTGTTGGTCACTTCTTTATACCTCTCCCTCACTGACCCGGTAGAATTTCTTTTCATTTGGTATTAAAGCCTGTGAAGAAATTCATTAAGGAGCCGTTGTTCACCTCTGTTGTTCTAGAGGATGGTTGCAGTTCCAGCTTTTTACCTAATTGAACTGGCTTCCCCATTCATTTTCTGAAGTGCTTCGGATATGTGCTGGGTACTGTGAATTATCACACATTTCTAGAAGGTACTTCATGAGGAAGGCTGGGATTTTGATAGAAAAATGATCATCTGTGTGTTTTAAGACTTGCTGTAAAGAAATACTGGTACATATTTAAGGTTAGGGTTCTTGGTGTTAAATGTATATACATGGATATGGAATACCCAGCAGCACATATTTCTTGAACCCCTGTGTGCAAGATCCGGTTGGGCCCTTAGATTTAAGTACCGTGTGCTTTGGGGTGGGTGGAGCGGAGCTTGAATAATGGCAGGAGGTTCTGTGGGTGGGACGTGTGTCTGGGTGTAGAAAGGGAGCTCCTTGAAAATATTCATTCATCTACTTCACCACGATCTTCTGTTTGCTAACCAGAGACATTTGCCATAAGTACTTGGTTTGGATAAACATCCATAAATTGAGTTCATCTCAAGATTTGCAACATAGAGCCATACCACAGGCTTAAGAAAACTGACAATCTGAGGTATATCTGTACGGAATTGTGCAAGCAGTAGTCGAATCAGCTGTGTTTTGCCTTATTACAGTAGTGTTAATAAATTGAAGCTTGAAAAATTATTTCATATAATAGATTGAGGGACCATTACAATATTTAACCTACTAGTTTTCTCAACAAGGCCTGAAGGTAGTTCACAGTTTGCACTTGGGTAAACTCAAAGGTAAAAAGGTGAAAGCCAAACTAAACCAGAAACTTCCCAGCAGCTTATAAAAAGGGGCAGAGAGGTCTGTTGCCAGTCTGTCTTCCTTTTTAAAAAGCAGTGGGAGGTTTTATGTATATAAGTACCAAATTATTGCATCGAACATTATGAAATTGTCACTTTGTAAAATATTCATGTTTTATGTGCTTCAAAATAATGATAATTGGTAGAGAAGGTGGCACCACCAGTTATTAACCCAGTACATTTTGTTTTTGTTTTTACCTTTTTACCTTGGCTGTGGCCTGAAGCAAAGGGCCTTCAGTCCAGTTTGCCATACCTTCAGGATTGGTTTTTCAGGAGGGGAGTTGAGAAGTCAATCTCTTTACATGATGTCACTCTCCAAGGAGAGTCATAGTCTGTAAGTTTCAACTGAAAGCCTTGAGAGGAAATTCCTCCAGTGTCGCCGTTCCCTCCAACCCAAGCATGTGGACCATTTAGTCAGCGGATCATTCTGATTGCCCAGTGTATTCTGGCATGATAATGAGAAGCCAGGGTTACAGACTTGTTTTTCATTAAGGCTTAATTACCAGTGGCCGTTTGAAAGGAGAAAAAGGAAGGTGGCTCCTTCAGCTCTGCCCTCTGACTTGACTGTCAGGTAAGGGCGACCAGAAGTTGATGGAAAATGGGCACAGGAGTCAAACAATTCAGTGAATTTTGGCGATTAACATGGGCATGCTGTTAATGAACCTCCCGGCTAGAATTTGTTGTTTTTGTTTTTATTTATTTTTCTGATTGCTGAGAACTTATTCATGTATTTTTTAAATAGACGATGGTGAGCATCAAATCAACGTTTTGTGTTCTAAAGGCAAACTGTTTTTCATTGTTGGAATTTTCTTTTCAATGAAGAATCCTGCAGGAGAAATTAGACCAGCCGGTGTCTGCTCCCCCATCGCCTAGAGACATCTCCATGGAGATCGACTCTCCAGAAAACATGATGCGACACATCAGGTTTTTGAAGAATGAAGTGGAGAGGCTGAAGAAGCAACTGAGAGCTGCCCAGTTACAGCGTACGTAGCCTTGGTGTCACTGGTCATCTGTCCACAGAATTAATCCACTTACCAAGTATAGAGTTTTACCTATATTTACTATTGAATTTGTATAAATCAGATTCATATTGTGTTTCATTGCTAGTACATATTTATATGTCTGTCATCCTGGAATAGATTATTTTAAAAAAAATTACAGTAGGGCAGGGCAAATAGTTTAGAATACTTCTAGAAAATCACATAATTTCAGGATGGTCCAGAATCAGAGGTACTCTTTCTTTTTTTTTTTTTAATAAATTTTTATTGGAGTATAGTTGATGTACAGTGTTGTGTTAGTTTCTGTGGTACAGCAAAGTGAATCAGTTATTCATATACATATATCCACTCTTTTTTTTTGGGGGGGATTCTTTTCCTGTATAAGGTCGTTACATAATATTGAGTAGAGTTCCCTGTGCTATATACAGTAGGTCCCCATTAGTTATCTATTTTATATCAGAGGTACTATTTCTAACCTTCTCCCTGGTGTTCACCTCTCGGATGGTGCTAACAGAAGCAATGCAGGAGACCTCAGTGTACTTTGGGGGCATTAGGCAGAGAATAGTATTTATCTTCTTTACTACCGAAATTTGGCCTCAGCTAACGATTGTTCATGGTGGTTGAGGAATAAATGCTTTTGAAATTTCTCCTTTTTATTTTTGGAAATCAAAGGAACTAATTTCTGGACACTTGATTACGTCACTCTGCATTCACTTGGGTTTCTTCTGTTTTGGTTTTTAGGCCGTTTAACTTATTTGAATAGATAATACAGTGAAAGGTATGCAGGGGGAAAATGTCTCCCTTTCACCCCTGATCCCCAGCCGCCCAGTTCTCACAATTAACACATTTTTAATATATTCTTCAGGTGTGTGTGTGTGTGTGTGTGTGTGTATGTATGTATAGAGACTTCTTTTTTTTTTTTTTTTTGCAGTACGCGGGCCTCTCATTCTTGTGGCCTCTCCCATTGCGGAGCACAGGCTCCAGACGCACAGGCTCAGCGGCCGTGGCTCACGGGCCCAGCCGCTCCGCGGCATGTGGGATCTTCCCAGACCGGAGCACGAGCCCGTGTCCCCTGCATCGGCAGGCAGACTCTCAACCACTGCGCCACCAGGGAAGCCCTGTATAGACTTCTTTTATACAAGTAGTAGCACAATGAACATACCCTTTTGCATTTTTCTTTTCACTTACTATGTCTTACAGTTTTTTCCCTGCCAATATATACAGAGCTGCCTTACTCCCCCTGCCCCTTTTTTTTTGAATCTTTTGGCCGCACCGTGCGGCACGTGGGATCCTAGTTCCCCGACCAGGAATTGAACCCACGCCCTGTGCTTTGGAAGCACGGAGTCTTAACCACTGGACCGCCAGGGGAGTCCGCTCCCCCTGTTAAAGGCTCTGTAGTATTTGAGTGTATGGATACACTGTAACTTATTTAACTCATCCCTTACCAACAGACCCCTTTGGGTGGTGATGCTACAACCATAGCGAACATCTCTGTACAAACATTTGATACCTGTGCACGAACACCTTCAGGGTAAATTCCACGGCATGGATTTGCTGAGTCAGATGAAATGTGCATTTAAAATTTCAGCGCTTCTTATCTTTATGTTTTCTTCTCCGAAGTTGATTTCAAGTTCTAGTGCAGTAGTGCATCTGGGATGGGTGCATCAAGGTTCTCCTGGGAGCCTTTAAGAAGTACAGTGTGGTCGGTTTCCTGTTGCCGCTGTTAACAGATGAGCACAAACTTAGTGATTTAAAACAACACAAATTTATTATATCACATTTTTTGGAGGTCTGGGTTCAAAACAGGTCTCACTGGGCTAAAATCAAGGTGTCAGCAGGGCTGGTTCCTTGTAAAAGGCTCTAAGGGAGAATCCGTGTCCTTGCTTGTTCCAGCTTCTGGAGGTTGTCTGCATTCTCTGGTTCATGACTCCTTTGCATTGGTACCACTCCCACCTCTGCTTCTTGTCACATCTTTTCCCTCTGACCCTCCTGCCTTCCCTGTGTAAGGACTCTTGATTGCATCGGGCCCAGACAGATAATCCAGGATGAGTTCCCATCTCAAGGTCCTTAATTTAATCACACCTGCAAGTCTCTTTTGCCATGGAAGGCAACCTGGACACGGGCTCCAGGGATTAGGATGCAGACATCTTTGGAAGTCCACTGTCCTGTCTAACCCCATCCAGGGTTCTGGGCTTTTTTACTCTAGGGGTGGAGCCTGGTCCTCTGTATTTTTTTAAGTAGAGGTGATTCTGAATGTACCCTGGCTTGAGAACCATAATGGATGTGTATTCCGTGAAAACAAATCACAGGGTTCTCAAATAGTTGCTTTAGGTTAGGATATTTTTTGAGTTTTTGCCGTGTTGGACAGACACGGGTCTTGTGAGCCCCTTTCTGAGCTCTTTCCACTGCTGTCAGTTTGTATTTTTCTTTCTTGTATAGACTTGCCTTGTTGTTCCCCAGACAACATTTTTAGAAGAAATTTGGGAAGAATATCTTGCTTCCTCTGCTTCCTTCCTACTGTACTGTCCGGTCTCTGGAGAGACTGCGGATGTCAGCAGAGGCTTCTGCGAGGTGCTGTTTGGATTCTGTGAGGACGGGGAAGGCCGTGGCACTTAGCTGCACACAGTAGCTTTGGGTTGGGTGTAGAGTATGAGTTAATGGCTTTCCTCATCCACCTGCCTCTGCCTCCTTAGGTTGGAGAACCTTGTCCACTTTGAAAGCTCCTGGGGCACTTGGTCCCTCTCCCCCAAGTCCAGCTGTGTCTGAACTTGAACCGCTCTCCCAGTAGCTCTCAACTGACATTAGAGTCCCCTGGAGAGTTTTTGGTAGACCAGTGGAGAGGCTTCATCCTCGGGGATTCTGATTTAAGTGGTTTGGATGGGGTCTGGGCACCCCATCCAATACAGCTAGTATTTTCTAGCCATAAACCTGAAAGGGAATTTAAAAGGTACAGACCACCTTGGGATGAGGTAGGACTCGTCTCTTGGGAGACTGTCCGTAAGTCACCCTCAGTTGACACTATCTTTGACTAACTGCTGTGAGATGGCTGAAGATGGGGGCAACATAACCTCTGGACCCTGAGTCCTAGGGAGCTCTTTGTGGGAGAAAGAGGAAGACTCCTGAGAGTAAATCTATGGTCCTTTGAAGTCAGGTGTGCGGTAGCCAGCAGAGGGCACCCAAGGAATGCCACGGCGTCAACCATCTGTGCCTGGGTCTCTCACTCCCAGAGGCTGTGGGCCTGGTGCCTTCTCGGTGCCTCCAGCTTCTGGGTTAATTGCCAGACTGCCAGGAGGTCTTTTCAGCCATCACCCCTGGTGACTGATGTTCTTGTCGGTAGCTTATTGTTGAAGGATCCCCCTGCTGGTTTCCCCAAATGCTAGAGGATTGCCATTTTCTTTGAAAGACAGTGTTTCCTCTTAAGTAATTATTCTCAAAGCCTCATGAATCCTCAGTTCTGCGAAGCGGAAAAGAAAGGCAACGTCCTCTGACAACTGTCCCTCTCGTCTAGAAACAGTAGATACTCCAAGAGGTCAGTGTAGCGATGCCTGTAGAGCAAGTGAAAAATTCCGTCTGCTGACATATTTGGGATGAAATAACTTAAATCATTTATATTAAAAGTGTACTTTGTAAATATTTTCCCAGCATGCCTTCCATTAAAGTGATTTTTGCATCTGGATTAGACAGCAGGGTTTCTGGTTAGATTGAAAACGGCCCAGGAATATAGTGTTTAATAATGTTGGTATTTCCATTTGAATTTCTGAAATAAGGATATTCAAGATACCAAGATAAGTATTCAAGATACTTAGTGACAACACAGGACAGCGGGGAGGGTCATGTTTTCCCTTTGCCTGGAAGGACGCTAGAGGGCGCCACAGAGTCCTGCACAGGGTCACCCAGAAGGGCAGGGGTTATAGTGGGTCCAGGCAACTCAGCAGAACGAGATTCCAGAGCCCCAGGAAGGTATCAGTTCCACATTTCAGATTCGCAGGAAGGACGATCTGGCCGGCTTAGCCTGGGTCCAGTGTCTCGCCCTGGGGCTGGTTAGCTCTGGCCGGCGCTGTAGCAGAGACCTCTCCGCATACGGGGCAGCTCCCAAGGAAGGGGTATTTGTCATTAGCGTGGTGCCATCCCAAGATCCTGGCTGCATGTATGTCTTTACCTGCTGTTTGACTCCGAAAGACTGTGCGTAAGTCAGGAAACAGTAACACAAACAACAAAAACTAGACTGATTTGAAGTATTGATCTAAAGTTGCTTGTTATGTCAGCTTCTAGTTTTATAAGAAGATTTATAACTGTTACCTAGCACGCTGAGTACACTGGTTCTCCGTGTGCAAACCGCTCCCCCCCCCACCTCCCGGTGCGCTGGGGCGTGTGCTAACAAGTGTGACCCATGGGTGTGCTCCCATAGGTGACCTACCCCGCTGTGTCTGGAGTTGACAGACAGCAGAACTGGTGCCTGGAGGGGAGCCCCGTGGGCTGAGTCTGTTTCCCCAGCTGGATCCCGTTCCCTCTCCGCTCCAGCAGTGTAGAGGGAGCTCTGGGAGCTGCTCGGGCCACACGTAGCTCCAGCATTCCTTCCTCTACATAAAGCACTTTAGAAGGCAGGGAAGCAGGATGGAAGATGCCTAACCTGACAGCACTGCTTTTCGTATGTTTTTCTAAATGCACATCGTGGGTCAGCCTTGGTACCTGGGATAAACTTGAAATCCAGATCTCATCTGTGTGCGGGAGAGTGAGAATGGCTGTCTTTCAGCACTTCTTGGTCTGTGGCACAGGAGCTGGACCACCGTCTTTTTGAAGAGTGTACTGTGGTTTAATTGAGAACTCTGGCCTTTCAGATTCCGAGAAAATGGCGCAGTATCTGGAGGAGGAACGCCACATGAGGGAAGAGAATCTGAGGCTGCAGAGGAAGCTGCAGAGGGAGATGGAGAGAAGAGAGGCCCTCTGTCGGCAGCTCTCCGAGAGCGAGTCCAGCTTAGAGATGGATGACGAAAGGTGCGTGCGTGTCTCACGAGCCTCGGGAAAACAGCAGCCCAGGCCCCGGCCCCTCTTCACGTCCTGTAAGATGAGGCAGGAGATGGCAGGGACGCTTATTTATTGTGATAATGAATACCGTGGCCTCGGTGCGGATGCTGAGAATGGGGTAAATGAAGAAGTTTGACTGTCCTCCTTAAACACAAAAAGACACACAAAAAATGGCCTTTCCCGAATTACTCAGTGGGACAGACATGGAGGCGGGTTTTGTGTCGGGAGGCAGCGTTTGCAGGTGTCGTTGAATCGTCCCATCCTGGAGCATGGGCGCATATCTTAATCCCTAGGTACAGGTGAGCAGGTGGTGCGCGGTACAGCCTGAGGAAGCAAATACATCCAGGGGGCGAAAGAGCCCACGACGGGGTGGGTGGAAGTTGTTGAAAGCCAGAGGCTTTGGTTTACCACACTTGGTAACTTCAACCTTTTTGCAGCTGGTTTTCAAAAACAGAACTCACGCAGTGCATTTATCTGCTCAGGTAGCAATGTCAAGTCCCCTCACTGGCCCTCTGGGAAATGGGCCGGCATAAGAGAGGCATCCTTTGGTTAACTAGAGGACACGGCTCAGTTCTCCTTGCTCACCCAGATTTTCCTTTCCTTCCCCACCTGCCCTCCTCCTCTGTGCTTGGGAGTGAGGTGATCGTTAAGATAAGCAACATCCACCTGTGCTGGGCAGCCAGCGCCTCAGACCAGGGTCTGCCAACGGCTGTGAGGACTAGTACAGGCTGTCGATGCCAGAGCATGTTGTTTGAACGCATGTGGGCAGTGTTAGCAGATCAGCACTCTGTTTCTCTTATTGAATAGATCCAGAGGGCTAACAAGGCTTTTTTTTTTTTTTTCGGTACGCGGGCCTCTCACTGTTGTGGCCTCTCCCGTTGCGGAGCACAGTCTCCGGACGCACAGGCTCAGCAGACGCGGCTCACAGGTCCAGACGCTCCGCGGCATGTGGGATCTTCCTGGACCGGGACATGAACCTGTGTCCCCTGCATCGGCAGGCGGACTCTCAACCACTGCGCCACCAGGGAGGGGCTTTTGATTAATTTGCTATGGACAGTATTTGCTGTGGTATTATCGTTTCATGAAAAATGTAAATTTTTCTATAATGAAGATGTAGTCTTTTTTTTGGGCTGCACTGCACAGCTTGCAAGGTCTTAGTTCCCCGACCAGGGATGGAACCCAGGCCCTCAGCAGTGAGAGCACAGAGTCCTAACCATTGGACCACCAGGGAATTCCCGATCTACTTTTATAATTTAAAAAACTTTATAAAAAACAGACTTAGATCTGTTTTTTTAAAAAAATATCTTCCTCATTTGAAAAGAATAAAGAGGATTCTTTCTCAGAAGTTTCTATCATAAAACTATCAACCTTAACTCTGAATTTCACTGATCTGCTTCTGACAGTGTCTCATTCTTTCTGAAACTCTTATCCTCTGAAAACCATTTCATTGAAAACATACGCTACAATAGTAGATAACTTATTAACTACTTTTTTAACTACCTTAAGACATGGAGCAGAGCATGTATTAACACACACAGTACCCTGTGCTTGATTTTGATTACGACATACTCTGAGGGACAGTTTCTCTGACTGTGGTGACAACACTGAAGCTACTTCAGGCTTTCCAGATAAATTTTTTTTTTTTTCCAAGGATTGGTATTCACTCCAGAAGGTTTGCCTTACCTTTTTAGGTCAGATTATCGCAGGTAGAGTACAGCTGTTGAATAAAGACATCTGCTCTCTCTACTGGGAATGATGATGTCAGATTTGGGAGGAAGAAAATAGTCAGACACTTGAGACATCTGCAAGTGTGTTTAATTCCTTAAAGACCAAGAGGCGGTCTTAGCCACCCCACTGGCTGTAGAATACAAGAGGTCCAGCCTGGTGGCACTGTGGTGGGCCGTGCTAAAGAGAGTAGGGAGAATTGGTGGTAGGTAGCTCGTTGAGAGGTGCATGCCAAACTTGGGAGTCTAGGGCTTCCCTGGTGGCGCAGTGGTTGAGAGTCCGCCTGCTGATGCAGGGGACACGGGTTCGTGCCCCGGTCCGGGAAGATCCCACATGCCGCGGAGCAGCTGGGCCCGTGAGCCATGGCCGCTGAGCCTGCGCGTCCAGAGCCTGTGCTCCGCAATGGGAGAGGCCGCAGCAGTGAGAGGCCCGCGTACAGCAAAGAAAAAAAAAAAAACCTTGGGAGTCTGGTTTTCTTCGAGTTGAATAAACTAGCATAGGAATACCTGTGTTAAAAGTTCCTCACGTGAACTGGTTGCATATCAGGGCTGAGATGTTTCCTGGGATAGAAACGCCTGCACATGTGGCCGTTCCTTCCTTTGGCCAGAAGGCCTGGGAAGGATCGCTTATTAGGGAGTCTCTCAAGCAGAAATTCCTCCTCCTCAGCTCTCTGTGCTTGTTCACAAAGTGCGGCCTGATGTGACTTCCGAATCCAGTAATAAGTCAGACCCGGCACGGCGTGACCTGCAGAGGTGCTCAGCCCATGTGTCATTTATTATATTCCACGTTCTGCATTTGAACACGTGACTGTTAGTTAAGCAAGCCCTGCCTTGTGGACAATTGACATCCATTTCACGGGATCACATTATCTCCAATTCGATGATATGCGTCTCAGAGGGCTTGTTTGGTTTTGCCTTTCAAGTAACAGTTTACAGGTAGCCACTAGAACGTGGATTTGTCTAATTCTTGGGACAGTGGTGGTGAATGTCTACATAGCTATAGTGTGATGGAGAAAAGCCTGGTCCTCTCTGTTGCATGACACAGCTCTGTCACCAGGCCTCCATCCTGAGCGAAAACACCCCGGATTCCCTCACCTGTGCCCCTGGGGAGAGAGCTTTGCCAAGCAGTGGAACAGCATGGCTCTGGGGTCCATATTATACATGTCTCCTCACTGCAGCATTGATTTCTAAACATTCAGGAGTTTGACCTCAAGATGTGAACCCCAAACATTTTCTCATAGGAGCTTTCTTAGGAACTACTGCAACGCAGGTGGCTCTAACCGTCTCCTTCACTCCTCTTAGGTATTTTAATGAGATGTCTGCACAAGGATTAAGACCTCGCACTGTGTCCAGCCCTATTCCTTACACACCTTCTCCCAGTTCTAGCCGGCCGATATCACCTGGTGAGTACGTGTTCTCAGCTACCTCTCTTTCTGCTGTATTTAACGTATCCCTGAATACATTCCCTTCTAGCATATGAAAAGCTTGTAAACAGAGGGTGGTCACGTGTTGTCCAGAAACACCAGAAATGATCAGTGCTATCACAAGTGAGTCTTAGCTTGCAATTTTAAAACAGTGTCAGCTGGTGGTTTTCTGGAACCAAAAAAGTAACTTAACTCTGAAAAACCTTTTCAAAAAGACTATCTTTGACTATGATTTTAAGTGCCGGTGGTTTGACAAAAACCTCGGGCAGATTTCTGAGATGCACCATAGCATATCTTTTATGGGTTCTCTCATTATGGTCTACATACCTCATCTCCTTTTTATCCTCAGAATAATTAACGCAGGCGTCGTGTTAAAATTGAGGAAGCAGTCATTTGGTGGGTCTGTAGCTACTGGTCACGTGGCCAGGAAGTGGCCGTGGCCAGGCAGGGCGTGTCTTGCTTCGCACAAAGCCTGTGTTCTTTCGAGCACGAGCTGCGTCCTGCTATTTCCACTGATGGGTGAGTGGGCCTCGGCCCTAGTAGGCAGGCCGTGCAAGAAGGAACTGGCTGCGCTTCTGCCTCTGGCTTTGCCCCTCAGAAGCCTTTCCCTCAAAGGCGTGCTTGTGTTCATCTGACCCTGAAAAACTCTCTCCCCGGGGTCTCTGGCTCGGTACCCGCACAGCATGGGGCTTTCGGGCCAGGAGGGCAAGTAAATGATCCAGCAGGGAAGAAAGAGGAAGCAGGGGGCCGGAGGGGGGGTGTGTGGGCAAGTGGGGTGGAGGGAGGAAAGCAAAGGTAGTCGGCCAAGGGATCGTGTCTTGTGACTGAAGTGTCCAGGCTGACGTTCTTGTGCGCGCTGGTAAACAGATTTTCAACAGAGTTGGGGAAAAACGTGTGTGGGGAGGGGGGAAGGACGGTGGCGGAGCACTTTCACACAGAATACAGTGAGGTGACGGCTTAGAAGGGTGGCAGCAATAACGGTTTTGTGGCTTCAGACAGTAAAACAGCTTCAGGTTAGGGTGACATCTCATTTTGTCTGTTTGTAATCATTAGACACCAGGGACGCCCTTCGGGTTGACCAAGGGGAAATGCTGCAGCCTCGCAGGTGGCTGTGGATAGCGGCAGGCAGGAGGGGCTTGGTTTTGTGAGTTTAGGATCCAGCCCAAGCACTGTGCTGCTGTGACTTGTTGTTTTTGTAAGAGGGGTGATTTTTAAAAAGTCCAACACGAAGTGTGGCAGCTTTTGTCCGCTTGGGGCCGGCATGCTCTCTGGCATGTGACGGCGGGGGGAAGAGGGGCTGTGTGTGAACCAAAAGGACTTTATGTTGTGGATCCACAGCACAGTCCTCAGCTGTTCTTGCCCAGAGGATGTTCCTGAATCTGTTTCTCCTGCTCTGCAGTGGCCTTGAGGTCTCTCCAGAAGCTTCTCTCCCTAGCCGCCTCTCAGTTTTCCCCAAATAGCACTTGGATTTCGTTACCATGATAAAGGTTGTCTTTGCTTTCTGATTTATTGATGTAAAAGGAAGTCATGTGTTAGGAAGAAGCAAGAAGGAGGGAGGCTTTTATAGTTGATCGTGATGCTGATTCATGCTAATATAAATTCATGTTCTCTTTGATTTATTTAAACCTACAGGCGTGTAACTTCCAGTTCATTAAATATAGTGTTGTGGTCATTGAAGAAAGAAAAAAACAAAAGTGAGGCCTTGGTTGGGAATATTAACTTCTATGGTAACAAATACTCTGCAGGAAGATTTTATTCCATGCACAGAATTTTGGCTTTCGCTGGCCCTGTTCCTGTAATGTGGGGCTTGCTTGTATAGACAAGCTAGTTGGTTTTCCCTTAAACTACATCATAATAAGTAACACCTAGATTTTTTTTTTTTCTCTCAGCCAGCCTTAGTGAGGACATTTGTATCGTATTTTAAGTTTTATAATATCATCAAAGTAGATTATAATCTCCTATTTGGCGGTAGAATTACTCCTATTCTGATCTAGTCCATTGGATACATAATACATTAGCAAAATCTGAATTTTCAAGTTTTCTTTTCACTTTATTTTTTATTGGAAGAATTTGTGCTTCTCAGTATTAAGAATATCTAATCACTTCTCTAGTGGAATTATGCTGTTTGTATAGTTTTCGTTTCCATTTGAAGCATTTTGGCTTTTCTTCTTCCCTTACCATTTCTGGTTAACATTGGCATTGGCAGTCTTGCATTTTCACTGACTCGGAATATTTTGAGGGCTATCTCACAATTTGATTGAAAGGTACATTTCCCAGTACTTCTGAAAAATCTTCTTCTTGCTTATATGTGGATTTATATATGTAGATTATATAGAGGGACAGTATTATTTTTTCAACAATTTTTTTCAGGTTGATCACTATTTTATATAGCCTGAGAAAAAGACATTCCCAGTTAACATATTTTCATATGCCTACATCAGCCATGGGGAATACTGAAGTTTTAAAAAGGATCTCCATCCCACTAGCAACAGGCACACCCACCACCCAGATCTTGGTTTCTAATTCCATTCTCCAATGAAGAGAACTAGGGCTCCTGGAAGAAATGGATGTTTCTAGGGCCTTGGGCAGGGAACATACAAGATGAACGTGGACAGTCTGGTAATGCCAGAAAGTTAGGAGAAGGTCAGAAAACTGAAAGATGAGGATAGGTCCAAGAGACGCAGGAGGAAACTGAAAGTGCTCCCAAAGGCCCAAACTGGAACAATTTGAGCAATGAAATAAATAATGTAATATTAGGTTATAACCCAAACATAAAACAAACATGCATTGGTTCACACTGATATAAAGAAATGACTGACTGAGTAAATAAACACGGGAGAAGAGATAAATCACCTATACAAAAGAATTCCAAATAATTGACATAGAGACTCCATCTTCACGGAAGTGGAAATAGCTCCCTGCTCTTCAAATGTGGGCTAAAGATAGGGACTTCCTTGCAAAGAATACAGTGTAAAAGGGAGGGGGAAAAAAAAGAGTACCTTGGGACTTCCCTGGTGGTCCAGTGGTAAAAAAAAATCCACCTTACAATGAAGGGGGCGTGAGTTCAATACCTGGTCAGGGAGCTAAGATCCCACACGCCGGGGGCCAGCCAAGCCTGCGCGCCACAACTACTGAGCTCGCGCACCTCAACTAGAGCCCACGTGCTGCAAACTACAGAGTCCACGCCCTCTGGAACCCGTGCACCACAGCTACAGAGCCCGGGCTCCCTGGGGCCTGTGTGCCACAACTAGAGAGAAGCCCGCGCACCACAAGGAAGATCTCGCGTGCCGCAACTAAGACCCGACACAGCCAAAAATAAATAAAATAACTAAATAAATAATAATAAAAAAAAAACTTCTTAGCTATTTAAAAAAAGAAAGTACCTTTACAGAGGAAAAACTTGACAGGCACTGCCTCTTCTGGGAGATCAAGGTCAGCATCGACAGTGGTCAGTCATGTCAGTAGTACGTACCCTTGATACGATGTGATGAGAAGGGCCCTTTACCTCTGTAGTCTTCCTCCTCAAAACGAATCACCCCAGTCTAACCACGTGGAAAACATCAGACAGTAGAGGGACAGTCTGTCTATAAAATACCTGATCAACACACCTTAAGACTGACAAGGTCATCAAAAACAAGGAAGTTTGAGGAACTATCTCAGCCAAGAGGTGCCTAAGGAGACATGAAAACCAAATAGCATGTGGTATCCTAAATGGGTTCCTGAAACAGGAAGAGGACTTTAGGCAAAACCTCAGGAAATCCAGATAACGTGTGGACCTGAGTTAATAATAATGTGTCAACATTGGTTTATTAGTTGTGATGAAAGTACCACACTGGCTTAAGAAGTTAATAATAGGGCATCTTTCAGAATTCCCCAGTGGTCCAGTAGTTAAGACTCTGCACTTTCACTCCCGAGGGCCTGGGTTCGATCCTGGTTGGGGAACTAAAATTCCACAAGCCTCGGGGCACGGCCAAAAAACAATAATAATAATAATAATAATAACGGGGAATCTGAGTGTGTGAGATGCAGGAACTCTCTGTACTATTTTTGCCACTTTTCTGTAAACCTAAAACTATTCTAAAATAAAAAAATTTATTTTAAAGAAAGCTACTAACATAGATGAAATCACCTAGTCGTGGAAGATGGAGGGAGAAGAGGAAAACCCTCCCATCTGATCCTGAAGGATGTAATATTTAGAGGTCAGGTACAGGAGGAAACCTGGTGAAGGAGATTGGGAAGTTGCTGCCAGGGAAGGGGAAGGGAAACTGGTATCCGATGTCACTGAGGTTAAGATAAAGCATTTCAGCAGGAAGGGAGGGGTCAGCTTTGCCTGTTGTTGCCCCAAGGTCAAGTGCAATGAGAGGTGGAGAGTAGCAGTGCACCTGGCAGCACGGAAACACTGCTGGCCTTGGCGAGAGCAGCCTTGATGGAGTGATGGGGACAGAGCCAGATCAGAGAGCGTTAAAGAGGAAGTTGTATCTCTAGCGTATGAACGTTAACAGAGACATGTCTGACTTGTGGAACTAAGATAAATTTCAAAGGAACAGAAGATGTCTGCCTTTAGTTTGGTTCGACGATGCTCATTTTTTTTTCTTCCTTTAGCAAAGATTTATTAGAGGGAATTTGGGGGCAGTCGGAAGGGTATAAAGAAGCAGAAATAAAATCATCCAGAATCCTTTTATCCGAAGGCGGTGTTAATATTTTAGTGTTTTCAAGTGTCTCCTCTCCCTATCCCCCCGACCTCTTACAGTTTTCCTTTAGGTAGTTGGTTTTCTATGGATTATACACTTTGGTATCTTGATTCATTTTGCTCAGTGGTTTTTGGTCATGAATTGCTTTTCATGAGTCATTTTTAAAATTTGTTGTCTTGAGCTTGTGGACAATGAAATAAATCTTAAAATTTTTACTGTAGTTAATGCATTTGTATAGCACAGCAAGAGCAATTTATTCCAGGAGTAGCTTTATAAAGCCACAGTATTCTGTTTAGGAGATATTTTCTACCTAGGTTTTTTGGGATTCTTATTGTTTATTGTATTCCTGGGCAAGAGGGTCAGATGCATGATGATTAAGGGAAAACAAAAACTAGTAAGACATGGTCTCTGGCCTCTAAGAGCTTATATATAGGGCCTAGGGAAGTAGGGGGCAAAACACAAGAAATAAGATAATCTTAATACAAGGCCAAGTATAATGAGTTTTATATTTTTTTTTGTTTGCTTGTTTTTTAATAAGCAATGCCTTTTTTATAGGTTTTTTAAAAAATTTAATTTATTTTTGGCTGTGTTGGGTCTTCATTGCTGCACGTGGGCTTTCTCTAGTTGCGGCAGGTGGGTGTTACTCTTCATTGCGGTGCGCGGGCTTCTCACTGCGGTGGCTTCTCTTGTTGGCGGAGCACGGGCTGTAGAGCGCAGGCTCAGTAGTTGTGGCACACGGGCTCAGTAGTTGTGGCTCATGAGTTCTGGAATGCAGGCTCGGTAGTTGTGGCACATGGGCTTAGTTGCTCCGTGGCATGCGGGATCTTCCTGGACCAGGGCTTGAACCCACGTTCCCTGCATTGGCAGGTGGATTCTTAACCACTGCGCCACCAGGGAAGCCCGCATTTTATGTATTTTATATCCCCTAAAAAGTTAAGTTGTGGTACACCCACTCAATGACATACTACCCAGAACTAAAAAGGAATTAACTTGATACACACAATAACTTGTATGGATCACAGGGGCATTGTGATGAATGAAAAACTAATCTCAAAGGGTTATATACTATATGATTTCATATCTATAACATTCTCCAAGTGACAAAATTACAGTGGTGGAGCACAGATCAGTCGTTGCCAGGGGTTAGGATTAGAGGGAAGGGGTGACTATAAAGGGACAACACAAGGAAGCTTGTTTGTGGTTTTGTAACAGTTCTGTATCCAGATTGTGGTGATAATTACTTGGATCTACACAGGTGATAAAAATTACACCTGTACCCACACACACACGAAGAATGCATTAAAAACTGATGAAATCCAAATAAAGTCTGTACCTTAGTCACTTGTATAGGACCAGTGTCAATTTTCTGGTTTTGACAGTGTTCTCTGGTTATGTAAGGTATCACTGGGGGGAGCTGGGTGAAGGGTAGACAGGGACCCTGTAGTATTTTTGCAACTTCTTACGAATCACAAACTATTTCAAAATAAAAAGTTAGGATAAAATTAAAAGGTATAATAATAATAAAAAAGCACTAAATAGAGTTTCAAAGAAGAGAGAGCTACCAGCTTAGAGAGCTTTTGAGAAGAGCCCTGCAGGAGAGGTTAATGAGCTGAAACATGCTGAGCCCTTCCTTTGTGCCGGGCACTCATTTCATCCTCACAACAGCCTTATGCAGTCACTGTGACAATCTCATTTCACAGTCGAGGGATCTCAAGTCCAGTGTCGCTCAGCACCAAGTGGCAGAACTAGAGCCCCAGATAATATGGCAGTCGGCTCTGGAGTCTGGGCTCTTTGCCCCTCCAAAGGCTGAGTGAGGTCCTGATTGACAAGGGGAGAAGGAGAAACCAAGTCCTGCAGTAAAGAGAAGACATCCCAGGCAAAGGCCATGGTGGGAACTGAGACGTGGAGGTCAGAATCAAGAGTGATCAGGTCACTGTGGTTCTTATCACCGGCTGCCCTGGGGCCCTGCTCCCCATAGATTCGGATTCACTTGATTTGGGGTCGGACGAGGGCTTTGATTCTCGGTATTGAGAACCACTGACCTAGAACATCAGGAGATAGTTTGGAGCCAAATGCAGGCCTTTTTAATAGCCAGAGAAGGGACTTTTTTTTTTTTTTTAAACTTGGGCAGGCAATAGGCGGTCTTTGAAGATTCGTGATTAGCAGTTTAACATACTCATCATTATTAACCTTGTCATACTGGGCAATGGGCTTGATCTTATTCATTTATTTTGTATTATGAATCGAACCCCCTGAGCTTCTCTATCTGGGGATAAGGACCTACATTCAAAGCTTTTCTCTTAAATTTCATCACTTTCATAAGAAGTGGAATTAGGGTTGTATTTCCCAAAGTTGTTTAAAGAAAACCCCTTCTTCCCTCCCCAAGCTGAACGAAGTTCTTGCAATACAAATACAAGTCACAGTAAATGACCACTGAGCTCCCAACGACTTGTGCTTTACCCCAGACCTCCATTTTGTACATGTGAACCAAATCCACAATTGGAAATGGAAATATGTCAAATAGAAAGCAGCACACTAGTTCATAGTCACAGCAAGAAATAAAATCCTTAACAATAGGTGTTGAGGGCACAGACAAATTCTGGGACAGGACAACTAAAGATAGGCGTGGTGGCTGCATGTCTCAACCGTGGAAGTCAAAAGACACTATAGAAGAGCGTCTTTAAGGACTTCCCTGATGGTCCAGTCGTTAAGACTGCTTGAGCACTGCAGGGGTACGGGTTCGATCCCTGGTCAGGGAACTAAGATCTGGGCATTAAACTTTGGAGCTGATTCTGGGGTCCTAGATGAAGACTATGCAGAAGGTTATAGTGGGCTGGGGGTGTTTCTTCCTTAAATATCAGTTTCTTTGGGGGGAACATTGGCATATGTAGGGCTTTTTGTTTTCTTTATTGAATATCCTGAAGTTGCCAAGTTCTCAGTGGTGAATTTTTTGTTTGCTTTGTGGCTGCTATACACACCCATTGGTTTTGTCTCGTTATTATTGGTATATCTTTTGACACTTACCCTTTCCTTGCATCTGATTTTTACCCCTTTGCTCTATTTTTTCCACTTTACTCTTGTTTCTTCTCATGTCTTCTACTTTTGTGCATCTCAGTTGGACTCCTGTCAAGGCTGGACTTTGGTTTTTTTTAGTTGTCATAAGAACACTTTCCATGAGATCTACCCTCTTAACACATTATTAACTGTACAGCACAGTATTGTTTAAAAAGCACAGTGGGGCTTCCCTGGTGGCGCAGCGGTTAAGAATCCACCTGCCAATGCAGGGGACATGGGTTCGAGCCCTGTTCTGGGAAGATCCCACATGCCGCGGAGCAACTAAGCCTGTGCACCTCAGTTACTGAGCCTGCGCTCTAGAGCCCACATGCCACAGCTAGTGAAGCCTGCACACCTAAAGCCCGTGTTCAGTGACAAGAGAAGCCACCGCAATGAGAAGGCCATGCACCACAATGAAGAGCCCGCTCGCCGCGACTAGAAAAAGCCCACAAGCCCAACGCAATCAAAAATAAAATAAAAGAAAATAAAATAAAAAACCACAGTGTTGTGCAGTAGATCTCTAGAACGTATTCTTTTTATAAAATTGAAACTTTGTGCCCATCGAACAACAGTTCCCCGTTTCCTCTACCCCCCCAGCCCCTGGCAACCACTGTTGAGCTCTCTGCTTCTGTGAGTCTGACCTAGATCCCTCATGTATGTGGTATCATGCAGTATCTGTCCTTCTGTTGTGGGCTTATATTAGCATAATGTCCTGCAGGTTCATCCATGTTCTTTTATAAAGTAATTTGCTTCTTTTTAAGGGCTAAATAATATTCCATTGTATGTATATACCATGTTTTCTTTATCCACTCATCTGTTGATGAACTTTTAGGTTGTTTCTACATCTTGGCTACTGTGAATAGTGTTGTAATGAACACATGAGTACATATTTCTTTCCAAGATCCTGTTTTCAATCCTTTTGGATAATAGCCAGAAGTGGGATTGCTGGATCATATGGTAGTTCTATTGTTAATTTTTTGAGGTAGCTCCATACTGCTTTCCATAGTGGCTCTACCAATTTACATTCCCATTAGCAGTTCCCTTTTCTCCACATCCTTGCCAACACTTTAAAAATGTTTTTTATTTTTATTTTTTATAATAGCCATCCCAACAGGTGTAACATGATATCCTATTATGGTTTTGGTTTGCTTTTCCCTGATGGATTTTGGTGTCCTATCTAAGAAATCATTCCTAAGACCAATGTCATAAAGCTTTCCCCCTGTGTTTCCTTCTAGGAGTTTTATGGTTTCAGGTCTTATGTTTAGGTCTTTAATTCCTTTTGAGTTGATTTTTGTGTATGGTGTAAGATAGGGCTCCACTTTCATTCTTTTTGCCCATGAATCTCCAGTTTTCCCAGCACCGTTTGTTGAAGAGACTACCCTTTCCACGTTGCATATTCCTGGCACGTTCACTGAAGATTATCTGACCATTTACGTGTGCACTTACTTCTGGGCTGTCTAGTCTGTACCAGGGCTTGACTTTTATATCCCTTGTTATCCATCCAGCAGGCCACTTGGTGAGCCCACCACTCCTCTCATCTGTTTGCATTTTTGTGGGTGACTAAGAGCTTCTGCATTTTAAAGCCTCCTAGATGCTTAAAGACACCAGATAGTTGAGTTTGTAATAATACTTACAAGTTGTTGTTATATTTCAGGTCTCTCGTATGCGAGTCACACAGTTGGTTTCACGCCACCGACTTCACTGACTAGAGCCGGAATGTCTTATTACAATTCCCCGGGTCTTCATGTGCAGCATATGGGAGCCTCCCACGGTATCACAGTAAGTATCCATGGGGCGGGCAGGAAGCAGCGCTTTCCTCCTGGTGGTGGTAGCGACTGGTCCTCCGTGGGAGCCAACGTTGATGTCCTTGGACATTTACCTTTCTTCTTCCTTCCTTCCTTCCTTCCTTCAGTTCACCTTAAACTTCTAGAGACCTCCCAACAGTTTGATGCTACATTCTGGTGTTGAAACTAAAATCCTTCCCAGGAGGCAAAACTTCACCTTCATTTTCTATGAAATATTGCCCTTTGTGAAACGTAATTTGACCTCCGGCCTATGCCTCCTTTGAACTGTAGCCAGCTCCTTGCCATAGCGAATTATTGTTGGTTGCTAACAATGTCTAAAATATTTATTGTCCGCACCTTCACAGTTCACTGACCCTCAGTATTCTTCCTGGAATTAGACTTGTTTCTAGTTTCATCCAGAATTTTCTTTCCTGGAATTAGAAGGAACCTTAAGTGTATCCGGTTCAGACGCTACTCAGGGGAGTGTTTTCATTAGAGCTGACTGTTTAGTTGACTAATAGACCGGTTAGAAATGTCGCTAATAGGGGTTTGAGAATAGGGTAGAACTGAGGGTATTCCCAATGAGGGAATCTTGAAAAGAAGAACCCCGTTCTCTAAAAAAAGCATGTAAGATATTTCTGAATCTATTTTGCTGGTTTGATGAGCTTTACATTAAAGCAGGAACGTTTTTGGTTGAGCTGTAGCTTTCATGACATTGACAACTTGTTTGAGGGATGGAAGGAGCTGGAGACATACAACGAACAGAAAAGATTTAAGGGGAGGACGTGACAGCTGTTTTATTAATTTTAGGACCGTCTCATCGAAGGGCGAAAGTCCAGTCGTTCGGTCGATGCACGTTTCATAGTGATTTTGCATAGCTTTTTCATAGATGTCGGTGTAAACTCTACCTTGTTGACGTTTTCCTGACGGGTTCAGAAACCAGTAGGGATGGACAAGGACCTCGCTGGTGTTTGGTCTCTGTGGGTCCGCTTTGGGGCATCCTGGGCTCCGAGTCACGCTGGGTTAGGGATGAGCCGTCTGTGCCTGCTCTGACCTGCTGTTCCTGTCCTCTCTACAGAGGCCTTCACCGCGGAGGAGCAACAGCCCTGACAAATTCAAACGGCCCACGCCGCCTCCGTCTCCCAACACACAGACCCCCGTCCAGCCTCCGCCACCTCCACCTCCGCCACCCATGCAGCCCGCGGTCCCCTCGGCAGCCACCTTGCAGCCCGCCCCCTCGCAACATTCGGTGCACCCCTCCTCCCAGCCTTAATGCATGTGCGCAGTCCGAACCTCACGTTGGGACTCGTTCGTGCAGTGGAGCCGTCGACTCAAGACGCCACAGGCTTCCTTCCCTGGCATATTCGGATCTGACTTATTTTGCACTGAGGTTATCTAGGCTTCACTATTCATTGTGTTGTAAATGTGTGTCGGAAACGCAGCCAGTGTTGTGGGTCTACAACACTAAACAGACGACTTTCTCCATCGGTGTTTTACTTGAATCTTCATGTGCGTCCATTCCCTGGTTGGGACGTCAGCTATTCGACTATTTGGTAGTTCAGCAGCGGTGTGCAGTTTTTTTGCTTGGCCCCAGAGCTTCATTTTCCTGGCTTTTAGGTTTGTAAAATAAAAAGGGATATCTTTTTTATATTTTTTTTCCCATGAATTTGCAGAAAATTACTGAGCTGTTATTACCCACCTCTCCCCCAACCCCCATTAGAATAGTGTTTACCAAGCATACCAGTAATTCAGCACTACGATTCAGACCTTTGAAAATCTAGCTCTCACTATAGAATGGGAAGTTGGATGCATCAGTGCCCCAGACAATGTTTAATAGAGCTTTCTACGGATACACTTTGTATGGGTTATTTTCAGTATATCTCAACATCCATGTCTCTTGTAAAACAGGTCTCCTGAAGTATTGGATCACATGGCTGTACCTTTTCCACATACATGGGATAGATAATTATCGTATATCCGGGTGTGAGTCTTTCTTTATCCTTGATGTTACCCTACCCAAACTGGCCCTCTCACGTGAGTCGATAACCGTTGTCCTACCCGCCAGTGGTTGCGATGGCTGATTAGAATGTGCTGTGTGATTTCTGCTGCAGAAGGCAATGTGATGGTGACAGAAACAGCTCATTTCCCTTTACATTCTTTACTCGCGTTCCCCTAAAATAGAGTTCGAACAGATATTTTAAAGGTGCAGAGTACTATGAGAAAATACTATGTGAAATGAACATTATAGGAACATCTTGGCACAATGGCCAAAATACTTTATTGCTGGCAGGAAAGAGGCGTAGAGGAAAGTAGCACATTAGCATTGAGGACTGCTTAGTTCGCCCAGTAAAAGCAAGCGCAGTGTACAAAGAAGTATATCCTGAATGCGTCATTTCCATTCATTTAGCACAAATAAATCGTCTGGTTTCACTCTAAAGTGGAACGCCGTGAGTCAGTCTTTTCTTAACACTTGCAACACCTTTATTTTGGCTTTTCAGCAGTTACTGATTTGTACTTGGGTAGTAAAGTGATTTTTACCACCTGTGTTTGCATATTTATATATGCTGTGGACAAAAATAACTTACTAGAGAATGTATATTTTATGATGAGAATGTGTATCTGTTGGATATAATCAGAGAACTGAAAATTAATTTATCCGTAATTTTTAAGAGTCCATGTTTTGTGACAGCCATCTCTAATAGCTAGCTCTTTATTGAACACACTCCTAACCATAAGGAACCATGACATTGTAGATATTTAATATTGTACAGTAGAGAAACCTCGATTTTTGCCTTTGAATGCATATTTACAAGTTACAGAATGAGAAAAGGTCTCATCTCACTGGCTAATAGTGTTTGACGAGCATCTTAAGAACTTGAGAGTAAAAGCAACAGTAGGATCTTTTTTTTGACTCTTTCAGTTTCCACCTCCAAACTGCGAGTGTCACTCCTCAGTCATTTGAAAGAAATCGTAGGTCTCTGTAAATTTTATTTATAATGTGTAATATACATAATCATAGCACAGTCTTCAAATATGGGGAAGAAGTTCGGCATTTCATTATTGAGGCTTGAGGTTTTTAATTCAGCCAGATGGGGTCCTGTCCAGCCCGGGGATTTCACCAACGGCTCACCGTCCCTCCTGGCACCTGGCCATTCTGAGGAATTCTGAGAGCAGGCTGCATCGTACAGTTATCGGTTTTTCTTATGGGAGAAATGGTATATGTTTGCAAGACTCTTCTACGAGACTGTAGATTTCAGCGCTGTTGAGTAGTGTCTTGCACTCAAACAAGGAAGTCTAAAATCATCTTCCCTCCACTTGCTAGCAATTTAGTGACCTCCTGAAAGCACAGAAGTCAGTACATTGCCCTGTGGTGACTGAAAAAAGCACTCGGAGCGAGCAGACAGTTCTGATAAATGCCTTTCGGAGACAGGTTCTTGACATCCAGACTTCTACAGAAATGTAGCGCCGGTTTCCTTAGACTAGTCGTTTCACTGCAAAATAAAACACAGCTCCTTCAAACAGCACTTTCTCACCATAAATCTAGTTGCCTCTCCCGGTGGACATTCTGGATTGATAGAACAAACACTACTCTTTTGAAATGATGCTGTTTCATGTCCTGTTCGAGTGTTTTATGACCCCATGTGGAGCCTGTCACGCTTGGGCAGTACCTGCTAGGGCAGCTCCTTGGCCATGGTTTAGCCCCCAGGGACCCCGAAGATTCCAACCCCAAGGCCACGAGAAGCTGACTTATCTGGGGCACTTCTCGGGGGGGCTGAACTTGGTTCCTGCTATTCCTGTTGCCCACCCGCCCAGGGCAACCCCGGACTGACTCCCAGAGGCCCCAGAGGCCTTGGAAGGCAGGTGGGAGCCACAGCAGGTTCAGTAGCTTCATTTTCCTGTCTTGCTGACAGAGACCCTTGGCTACCACTGTGCTGCTAGTAGGATAAGTACTCTTCGCCAGATGACCATGCCTTTTATACAAAACCAAATTACTTTCCCTAACACCTGAGGCCTCTCTGGGCTCTGAACTGCTCTCTCTTTCATCCAGCATGCTGGCATTCTAGACAGACTTCTAGAGATTTGGCAGATGGTGGAAGTATTTCAGATTTGATTTAACTTGCTCCTTTGTTAATTGAAAGGAGTTTTAAATTCTGAGCTCCTGAGAGACTGACCACAACCATGGAATGAATGTGTGACCAGAATGTGGCTTTGACACCAAGTGCTTGCTGCCCCTTTGTAATCGGCTTCTAACTGATTTGACCAGAAATAACGGATAATGTGAATTTTCGTTAACTGTTCAATTGTAGGAAGATAGAATATGTATCGCCCTTTGTTAGGTAGACATGAACTTTTCCTGCACGAAGCCTTGCTTGTAGAGGAAGCCCAATAAGGCAAGAAAAAGCATAGTAACTTGTGCTTGGAGAGCTCACTATTTTTATCTTATCAGTATAGAAGAAATATTTCTGCGTAACTTTATCTTCTATCTAGTACTTGTCTTATAGGTAACCAACACTGAAAACTTTGTAGTGAGGACTACCAAAGAAATACATAGTAAAACAACCTTTTATTTCCAAATTACTAAAGATCCAGCCATCGACGCTGCTACGTGAGTTCCATGCTCAAGAGCCATTGTAAGAGATTAAGGGGTTTTTAGGTTTTGGGTTTTTTTTTTTTTTCCCTCTTGTTGTTGTTTTTTTAGATTTCTTTTTTCCTTTTTCTCTTTTTTTTTTTTTGTGATAAAACATACACACACAGCTGTTAGCATAAAATTATGGGGGGCATGCTTCAGTATGCTCAGCAGTTGTGGTTAACTGCCGAGCCCTGGTTGCCTCTCGCTAGGCAATGGAAGGAATCCTATGTTCATGATAGCGTGGGTGCTGTGTGTGTGCACATGTGTGTGCATTCATGCCTTAACTCGGGTTACTGCTCAACTTTAGTTCTTCACTTAGTCTGCACCGTCATCTAGATTGTATTGTACATCTCGATCTGAACTTCATCCTGGCAAAAACAAAGTTGCAGGTACAACAGTTTGAGAGTGCATTCCTCCAGCAGAGTGTTGGATCAGGTTGACCCTGAGCCTTCTTTGGACTTTATTTGGAACTAGGCATGGACAGCAAAAGTGGACTGTCCCATGGAAAGACATCAACAAGGAAGAGAGGACAGCCAAGTGCTAGCATGTCTCTGGCCTCTGTGTATGTGCGCACACTGTACGTCGTTCATGATAGCTTGTCTACAACTTGACTAGGTTGGAGTTCTGGTAATAGTGGCAATCTTGACATTCTTGGTCAGAGTTTAGAGAGATGTAAGACTTCCAATTAATGTCTTATTTACTTCTTTATGTTGATTAGTCTTTGATACATGTGCTGAATCAGAAACCTAAATAAAGATAATTTTTTAAAATGAATCTCTCGAGCTTTATACCCTATCTCTTTCTCTCTGGTCTTTGAGTCGGAAAATGAACCTTGTGTCCCTGTGATTTCTGATGGATATCCAGCTTAGATTCTGAATACTAAAGGCTGCCTTAGAAAGTGATCTTAAGGTGAGGACACAAAAGGGATTGGTACTGCTCTGTTTCTTAATCAGGATCCCGGTTACCTGGATGTATCGAGTTTTTGAAAATTCATTGAGCTGTGCGTTTATGATCTGCGCACTGTCCCGTATCTGTGTCGTATTTCACTTGAAAACCATACACCTAGGGGATTATGAAAAGGAAAGGAAAAGCACACTCATTCCCAAAATGTTATGTATAAACAATTAGATATAGGTATATACACGCACATATATTGTCAGGCTTTGGAAATTGCACTCAGTATATTAGCTTATTCTTAAATTTTTAAGTCTGTTTGTATGGTTTTCTCTTCCTACGTATAAGAATCATGGCTTTAGAATGAGTTCTAGGTTTGAGTACCAGTTCCTTCACTGGCTCAGTTACTTAACCTCTCTGGAACTCAAGTTTCTTACCTGTAAAATAACAATACTATGTGCCTGGCTAAGATGAGAAAATCAAGATGAAACCCTCTAGTACAGGCCTTCACATATACAATAAGACACAAGTCCTTTCCGTGTCCATTCCTTTAGGTAGAAAGGTAGAGTGAATATTTGGGGTGATGTTTTATACACCTTGCATTTTAGGAAGCCCCTAGCAGTTAGTCCACGTTCTGTAGGGGAAACGCACAGACTTAGGACCCTGCCCTAGGAGCATGGTCTTCAAGAACACAGTTGTGATATCGTCTTAGGAGTGCGAGCTGTTTAAACCTAGGTCCTTTTCCATATTAAAGAGCTAAATAAACCTTGAGTGAGTCTTGACTCACTCTGGCTTAAGCAAGATATCATATTAACTATTCGTTAATGAAAAGAGTTTTTAATTTGATTTGTCATTTGGTGAGTTGACCAAAATCTCAAAATGCCTCTGTTCTCATGGCAGCGAGGTTTCAGTTGTAACTTGACGAAAATGTTGACCAAGAAATTACGCAGGACCTCTGAATTTAGGACTTGGCTGCATCTGCCAGCTTCAGTTTTCTAATCTATATAGTGGACATAGCCATTCTTATTTCATGTAGAATTTGAAGAAAATGGGATTCAAAACGAAGTGCTTTAACAACATGTAAGTTATAAAGTTTAAGCTATATGTACACTTTTTCTCTTTTAACACCTTTTAGAGGCTGCGTGTGCACGTGGCGCTTCTAAGGTTGAAACGGTTGGTTTAGAAACTTTTTTTGTATTTACGTAAAACTCTGTAGGTAAATCTGGGTCCTTGTTTTAACGTATGGACTATTTAAGTTAAAAAATACTTGGGGAAATTCAGTTCTATTCACTAATGTCTAATTCAGGCCCAAACTTTTAAACATTCTCTTTAGAAACAGGAAGACGCCAGCGCATGGTAAATATGGTTTGTGCCAAATGTTTCTGTCAACATGAGACGTTGAATTTCTGTCCTTTAAAGTTTTTTTTTTCTATCTTTCACATCACCCCCATTTCCATATTACATTGAATCCTTTTGAACTAAATGTATTTAGATCTTTTTCTAAAGATCGTATTTTCTGATACCCTACTCATGATTGAGTGCAACTTTCAAGATTACTAATTATCCCAGAGAGCTTAGTAATTAACCTGAAAATTTTTCATCTTAAAAATCAAGAAGGGGAAAAGCCAGACTCAGAAGTGAAACAAGATGATAGGATTAGTAGACAAGGATGTGAAAACAGCCATTATAAACATTCTTCGTGCATTCTAGAAGGCAGAAGAATACATGAGCATAAGGAAAATGAAACGTAAAAAAGCCTCCAGTTGAACTTCTAGAGACAAAAAATACAGTATATGAAATACGTAAAGCAACAAAAGTCTTTTGTGGATTCGTATCTGTGTTCTTTAAATGTTCCTTTGAAAGGCAACTGCTGAAATTCAACTTAAGCCCCCTTAACCTACTTTTCTCCCACCACATCTCCCCAGGGATAGCTTTGTCTGGGTCCTGGTGAAATGCTATTGGGAAATCATTAACCTGACTGACTACTGCTATTTGTTACTTTAATGTTGGGCACGAAGCCTCAGATTTAAGGTACCCAGGTACAGTAGAAGTGTCCTGTGGGTTCAGGTCTGGCCTAAGTCCAGTTTTCTGGGCTTTGGTTTCCTCCCCTACAAGATAAGAATGAGAATGTGTTACCGAGTCCAAGCTCGTACTGCTCACCAGGTGACAGGCCGGTACATCGAGAGATGAGTTGGAGCACGGAACAGCAACTTTATTTGGAAAGCCAGCCAACTGAGAAGATGGTGGACTAGTGTCCCAAAGTACCATCTTATCAGGGATAGAATTCAGGCTTCTTTTATACTAAAAAGGGACGGGGGGTGGGGCGGAATGGAGGTTGGTTGGTGCAGGCTTTGTGGCGCTGGGATGCTTTGTTCTTACAGCGGTCCACATAGATCTGGCCACTGTGTTCCCTGTGCACCTCCAACCAGACAGATGTTATTCTCTGTTCTGCAACTTTGCATCTCTGAAGGTCAGAGCCTTGAGAGTCCTCCTGTGTATTTCGGGCTGTGGGCAACATTCTTTTCCAGAGGTGCAGAGCCAGCACAACTGAGTACAGGCCACAGAGCACAGGGGTTAGAGCTAAAGGAATAGATCTAATATGCCGTCACGTTTGTTCTTCTCTGTTACAAATGGGGTGGTTGGGATCCAGTGAACATTGTTAAAACATGGGAGCGTAAGAGTCTTCATAGTGTCGCTTCTTAACTACTTCTAGTATCATTTCATTCACTCTACAGCTGTTTTAAAAATACTGCTCACGCCAGCCGTCGTGTGCGGTGCTGGGAATTCGGGGGATGGGGCGGGGGGAGAGGGGACATGGATACCAACTTCCTTCCCTTTTGGTGTTTCCCAGTGTGGTGGGTGCTGTGAGCGGGGCAGCAGCGCAGTGGGACCCGTGGCATTAGAAGAGAGGGAGGGTCAGAGAGGATTTCCAGAGGAGTCGATCTCTAAGCACATTCTTGAAGAACAGGTGGAAATTGGGCGGAGTGTTTGGGACAGAGGGAATAGCATGTGTGGAAACCTGCAGGTCTGAGCATGACACAAGTGGTGACTGTTTGGATTCCCTGAAAGCAAACTGAGACAGGGACTTGGTGCAGGGAGCTTCCTTGGAAGGGGAGTCCAGAAAGCGGAATGAGAACGTGGAGAAGGTGAGGCCAACAAAGGGTGCGCGGATGAGCCCGTTAGCATTGGGAGGCAACTGGAATTCAGTCCCACTGGGTGTCCCCGAGGAAGAACTGAGAACGTGCCTCAGTACTATCCCACCAGAGGACAGGAATGCTGTCCAATGCACCTATTCCTTCCTCCAGAGGTTGAAGGTGACCCCGGGGAGAATGACTCCCACATTTGAATTTTCTCCGTTGTGTGTGAGGCTTCCTGGAAACCCTGAGACAACAAAGCCAGGGTGGCTGCCCCATAGTTTTGTTTGTTTGTTTGTTTAGCACTTAATCTGCAGTTTTGAAAATCCTGTGTCTGGGAATGGAGGTATCGATACCATAGTTCTGAAATGGTCATGTTTTGAAACTCAGAAGTAATGTTATATCTGAGTGGAATGCATATTTACAAACTCCCATTGCTTAATAATCAGGACGCAGGGACATGCATATGTGCAACACATATTCATGGGAGAAAATATACATCAACAATGACAAGTTTTTAAAAAACATACACCAGCCCCAAAATAACCACGGGATTCTGTTGACACCAATTATTTGGACCAAGCTTCTTCATCAGATCACCTTGTAGACACTAATTCAGGTACCACTGTCCCGGATCTTGTGGTCAGAGTTGTCCCAGAATAGGCAGCTGCTTGTGTGATGTGGCTTAAGGTATTGGACAGGTCCCTTCAACCGAAGGTATCTGTTCCTCACTCTGCCCATGCCCATCGCCCTCCTTCTAGGTGCAGGGATTCCCGCAATTTTATTATAATCATTTACAGGCATGTTTGCTTGGGACCGTGGTAAATAGTCAAGGATGTACTTCAATAAGAAGGATCCTTTATTGAGGCAAAATCTGTCAGTTACAAACAAGTCATGGAAGACCACAGTACCCCCTCCTCCCTCCAAAAAGAACACTGAAAATGAACATACAGAACCCTCTGTAAAACACGGCAATGCTTTCTTCTTAAGGAGAACCATATTTTAATCTATTTAAGGCCTTTCACAGGTATGTAAGAACCAGAGTTCAGCTTACAGGGTGTTCTCAGTCTTCTGCAGAATCTTGTGTTTACCAGCTCCTCATGGGTGGTCTAAAGAACACAGAAATGAATTAGTGCCGTTTGCCGAAGCCAAAGCCTGAGCAGATGACCCTGTTTCTCAAGACAACAGAACCATACTCTATGCTTTTTTAAAAAAAATAAATTTATTTATTTTTGGCTGTGTTGGGTCTTCATTGCTGCATGCAGGCTTTCTCTAGTTGTGGTGAAGAGGGACTACTCTTTGTTGCGGTGCACGGGCTTCTCACTGTGGTGGCTTCTCTTGTTGCAGAGCACGGGCTCTAGGCACGTGGGCTTCAGTAGTTGTGGCACACAGGCTCCGTAGTTGTGGCTCATGGGCTCTAGAGCGCAGGCTCAGTAGTTGTGGCGCACAGGCTTAGTTGCTCCGCGGTATGTGGGATCTTCCCAGACCAGGGCTCGAACCCGTGTCCCCTGCATTGGCAGGCGGATCCTTAACCACTGCACCACCAGGGAAGTCCCAGAACCGTACTCTATGCTTAAAATGACCTTCCTGGGCTTCCCTGGTGGCGCAGTGGTTGAGAGTCCGCCTGCCGATGCAGGGGACACGGGTTCGTGCCCTGGTTCGGGAGGATCCCACATGCCGCGGAGCGGTTGGGCCCGTGAGCCGTGGCCGCTGAGCCTGCGCGTCCGGAGGCTGTGCTCCACAACGGGAGAGGCCACAACAGTGAGAGGCCCGCGTACCGCAAAAAAAAAAAAAAAAAATGACCTTCCTGCAATGTCCTTTTGTCCCTTTCCACGCCATCACCCAAGACCCAATAGTAGTTTTCTCTTTAATCTGTAGATCATTTTCATCACCCCCAGAAGTTTCCGCATTCCCTTTTGTATCCAGTCACCTCCTTCTGCCACCACGGGGCAGCCACTGATGTGTTTTGTGTCCCTATGATGGTCACTCCGTGTTTGATGAGGGATGCTGGCAAGGTGTATGTGTTCGCAGTGAAATCAGGTGGGCCGGGGGGCGGGGGTGGGATGGATTGCATCAGCTCTGCTACAGGTGGCCTGGGGGCTAAACACCTCCCACCATCATTTGGTTTGGCCTAAGTATGCATGAAAAACGTTTTTTTCCCCAAAGGTGGAAAAATGTAATGTGTTTTATTTTCCTTTTTCCCCTGCATCTTATTGAGAAATAACTGACCTATAACATGGTGTAAGTTTAAGGTGTAATGTAATATTTGATACATAGATATTGCATAATGATGAGCGCGATAAGGTTAGTGAACATATCTGTCGCTTCCCATAGTTACAATTTATGAAAAGTTGAAATACCTTTTGATTTGAAATGAGGGAGACTTTTATTTTTTTAAAAATCCAGATTCCTTATTACTCTTAAAAAATAAGAGCTCAGCAGGGCCTCGCCATCCACTGCTCAGTCAGCAGGGGCTGAGCAGTAGCTATGCCAGGGGAGCAGAGCCACGGTGGTCCCCCTGCCCACCACACAAGTTATTACAGTGTGGTCCCTGCGGGCCTTGAGTTCGTGGACCCCTGGTATAGGCTTCTTGAGAAGTGAAGGCTAGAGCTTGTGTGTGTGCATGAGAAAGAGAGAAGGGGGCAAAAGTAGGAGAGTGAGGGGTGAAAACTGAAGCCCTGTTTGGAAAGAGGCCTATACCAGAAGCTCCCGGCACAAATCCAGCTAATAAGAAAGTGGTTTGGGGACTTCCCTGGTGGTCCAGGGGCTAAGACTCCGAACACCCAATGCAGGGGGCCCAGGTTCCATCCCTGGTCAGGAAGCTAGGTCCCGCGTACATGCCGCAACCGAGACCCGGCGCAGCCAAATAAATAAATATTGAAAAAAAAAAAAAAAGTGGAGTGTTGATGCGCAATGGACTTCGGGAAATCAGTCTTTCTTGTGAGCCTCACAGGGATGGTTGGCCAAGATTTGAGATGGGATTAAAGTGCTCCTGGATTCTCAGCCGTGATGCCATCTACTTTGCCCCTTGTTCTCCCCCAATTCGACAGACAGCGTGGTTTCAGCAGGCTGAGAGGAGGATGTACCCATGGGTGGAGAGCTATAGAGGAGACGAGTCAGACAGGGTTGTTGATAAGTGTCTGCCCTCTGGGAAAACAAACCTTGGTTTGTATTGCTTATGGATGTTCATGGTGTAAATACTCCCCACCGTGGCTGATTTCAAGCCACCAATGTGAAGTCACTAAACTTGGAGAGAGAGGTGCAATAGTAACACCGTATATGGTATTTCTACCATACAGATATATTAGGTATAAATAACCTTAAATGCATAGTAATAGTAAAATGTAGTCAAATAATTAGGAAGCGGGGTGGTTTGAGTATTTGTTACCTACGTGTTTTTTTTAAACCTGTGGGGGTTTTTTGGCCCCACTGCGAGGCATGCGGGATCTTAGTTCTCCTTCCAGGGATCAAACCC